ACATACACATCGCTATAGCGCACCTCCCTCACAATTTTTTGAAGCGAAACCGGTACAAGGTTGTTTGTCGCGGACCACGCTACCCTCCTGACGCCATATTTTCAACTTTTATACCTGATCGCGGATCGTGCCTTTAAATGAATTCAGGTGTGTAAGGGCAAGGTGGGTAAGGGCAAAAATGCAAGCGGAAACGAAGCGAAAACCAAGAGAAGGATCAAGAGAAGAGGAAACCTGGATAAATGAGCAACTATCACTTACCCGAAGCTCATCCAACAAGATCGTCGGCACTTTCACGCAGACCCAAAGCGTCCGTGGAAAACTCGTGGACCAGATTAACAATAGTGTTGAGCTGAAACGAGACATTAAGTGGGTTATTTTTGACAATATATGGTGATATGACTAAAGATATGGTTCTCAGAAATCCAAGCCCGATTGGGACTAACAAGGTCTTTCAGGTAGGGACTCCAGACATGGGAGAGAGAAGACGCTGACTTTCACTTATTTTGGGCCTAATAATAAATACCCATTCAACAACGTCCAAAGATTTTCGCATGAAAGTTGAGTAGACTACATGAGAACTGAATTTAATTTCGATTTTTCGACGATGCCCCCCTCCCCCAGAAGGCCAAATTGTTCTCTGTTATCAGGATGTATTTGCTACGGAATTCCATGTAACAATTAAGCAGTACCTTTCTACATATATTGGCGATGATCATAGCGATCTCCGGTTTTTCAACAACTCGATGCTCTCTGATAGGTTCATTGTTCTTTTCGACGTTGCACGTCATCGACACGTCCTCAGCATCGGACGAGTTCAGTGTGGACGAGTTATCCTGAAACATTGACGGCTCTCCTCTGTAATAATACAAGATGAGCGCTCCACTGAAACATTACCAATTCGCGGCTCGTCAGATCACTGTGCATTGACAAGGACACCGATCCGTTCAGGTCGACACTCGGGCTTTCAGCCCGATAGTTCTGCTGACCCAGACGTCGAAACATTCCCCTGAAAGACCTTTTTAGGTCGATCTCACGTCTCACGTGACTCGATTTCCAAGCTACTGCGAATCACAGGCGGGTTCTATCCTTTGAGCTCAACCGGAATATAGGAGGGCTATAAAATGCTTCAAAAGATATTAAGGTCTCTGCGGTGGTAAAAAAGGAAGTACAATAAGATAACGATGGAAGATTCCATTTGCGACCTTCACAAAACTCACAGAACAGAAAATAACACCACATTTGTTCCATTAAGGGCATGTCCTGTCATTGGGGAGAGTTTTGAGAATTACGCGCTCACCTCCCCCCTCTCCCTCAAAATGTTTTTCTCTAATACACCCCCTTCCCCACACCTCATTCTACCTACACCTCCTTAAATTGTCCCAGCATGCTACCACTTTTTACCTCCCTCTCCCTTCCTCCAGCAATCAAATTCGATCCCCTTTCTGGGGATCCCCATGCGACACGCTCCGTCTATAAAATCGAAGAAGATGACGGGAATGTAGCCCAATAAATGATTTGAGCAGATGCTTCGCAGTTTTCTAGAGATTCTAAATGAGTACAAAGAGAGGGCAATAGTAGAGCTGTGTAAAAACCAGATACGGCTAATTCGCATCGGCAGTAACTGAGGAGAACCAGCAAAATTCCCCCCTCGAAGCCGAACTGCGCTATTCGTGTGCTTTCCTTGTCGGAGAACCTGTTAATAAGTGCTCATAACTGCTGATAACTCTTGATAACTGTCAACAACTGCTGTTAATAACTATTCAGAACACGAATTGAGATAGTACTCAGTGGTTCAGAAGAATTTAGCAGTGAATAGGACTACTCTACTCTAGGTAGGCCCTATTATTGGTGTCGGGACCATGCCCGGGCATTGAAGGGATGACCATTGGTTTGATTCTACGAGAGGTTACACTAGGGTGCCTTACGGTCGGTTATGCTACTCTTCTACCCCACCCCACCTCCCCAAGTTATACGAGGCTTCTGCCTCCAAACCTCGTACAACTAAGTCGATATAACAAGAAAGAAAAGCTGGATGTGATAAGGAGAAAGAAGGGGTTCGAAGCGTTCTAACTATTCTTCTACCTCTACTTCCTATCAATGTCATAATTGCTAGTAATCACGGGTAGGGCAGTTCAAGGGTTACTTCATGGCCTTCGAAGAATAGAAAACAGCACCACACTTGTTCAATGAAACAGAAAAATGTGTCATCTACACAACATCACATAACAAGATCGTTTCAATCTCGTCAGCGCGATCAACTGACTAATTTCCGCTGAAATCTTGCGAACACACCCTACCAGCGTCCTCGCCATGAACACTACAGAGAAATAAAGTCTCTAGGACATTCAGAATGCAATGGGTGAGGTGGTCCTGGCTTATCTCCCTCTTTGAGAGCTATGTGAATTCGCCACTGTACACTTCGTAGGGACACGTCGTTCCTTCAGTTCCTCCTCCCGAAGCCCGATAGACCATCTTGCCCGTGGCGAACACTACAGCCTCTCCCCCTGGTCCCGACACCCGTAGGCTACCCCCTCTGCAGAACATAAGAGCCAGATTCAAGGATTGAGAAGACCCGAAAAGCCAGAAAAAGAAGGATAAAGGCAAGCGGCACGACAAATTCTTAAGACGTGTAGGATTGACACGCCTAGCAAGGACAGAAGTCGGCGCCCCTGAGCAGGAGCAACGTGACGCCTTTTCTAAGAGAGATACTTCTAAGGGAGATACCCCTATGAAGCCCTATCAAGCTGCAGCATGGCGACCCAGACGCTTGTCCAGAATTGTCC